TTGATTGGACTCCAGTTGGCTGACATCTCACTCCAATTAGCTCTTGGAGATGTCATTAGTCTAGGGGTTCACATACTTTTTCCACCTGCACTGTGAATGTTTACATGGTGTGTTCAATAAAAACATGGCAACATTTCATTCTTTGTGTGTTATTAGTTTAAGCAGACTGTGATTGTCTATTGTTGTGACTTAGATGATGATCAGATCACATTTTATGACCAATTTGTGCAGAAATCCATATCATTCCAAAGGGCTCATATACTTTTTTTTGCAACTGTATAAGATAAGGCCAGGGACTAATGAAAGTATTTAGAAAATTGGACAGACTAGATGGGCCAAATGGTTCTTATCTGCCGTCACATTCTACATTTCTATTTAAATTAATGGTTATATCCTTATGTGTCCCCCACCCGTGGTCAGTGGGTGGAGGCTCTTATAAGGGGGAGGGGGGCTAGTGGTGGTGTGTGGTGGCCTTAATTAATTAACCACTTAATGCCGTTACGGCGTTCTATGCCGTCCCGCACTAAAAAGGGCTTTAAAGCCGCTGCGGCGGCATAGAACGCCGTAACGGCTTTGAGCCCCTGGAGGTCCGGTGGACTTACCTCTGCCGCGATCCTCTTCTGGAGGGCTGCCTGACAACCCAGGCAACCCTCCCCCGGCAAATGATGCCCCCGGGGGCCATGTGATCGTTCTCAAAGAAGCTGGCTGTGGATTAGCCAGCAGGGGGAATGTCAGACAGTCCCCCTGCTGGTGGGAAAGTAAAAAAAAAATAAGTAAACAGGTTATAAAATAAAATAGAAATGTATTTATATATATATATGTATATCTATTATATATATATCATATATATATATATACATATTATATATATATGTAACGTCATCCAAAGTGTATTTTAATATTAATATAAGTACATATATTAGTAATAAAATACACTTAGAATGACGTTACATATATATAAGATATATATATTATATATATAATAGATATATACACATATATATATATATATATACATATAATTACAATAATAAATAAATAAAATAATAAAATAAAAAAAATATTGAAACAAAATTTAATATAAATTATATATTCATGTGTGATTTCATTCTAACTGTATTTTGTTACTAATATATATATATATAAAATACAAATAACCGCAAATATATATATATAGATAAATACATATAACTACATAAAAGATTACATTAGTATACACGTAGAATTTAAATACCTATAAATGCATATATATTAAAATTCTACGTGTATATTTAAGTAATCTTTTAACATAATTATATATATATGTAACGTCATACAAAGTGTATTTTAATATTAATATAAGTACATATATTAGTAATAAAATACACTTAGAATGACGTTACATATATATAAGATATATATATTATATATATAATAGATATATACACATATATATATATATATACATATAATTACAATAATAAATAAATAAAATAATAAAATAAAAAAAATATTGAAACAAAATTTAATATAAATTATATATTCATGTGTGTTTTCATTCTAACTGTATTTTGTTACTAATATATATATATATATAAAATACAAATAACCGCAAATATATATATATAGATAAATACATATAACTACATAAAAGATTACATTAGTATACACGTAGAATTTAAATACCTATAAATGCATATATATTAAAATTGTACGTGTATATTTAAGTAATCTTTTAACATAATTATGTGATTTGATTAATTAAAATTTGATTGACATGCCTGACAACACAGGGAGAAAGTGCAGAGAATTTAATTCGCAAGCACTATATTTGACCCTGTAACTCTCCAAGACACCATAAAACCTGCACATAGGGGGTACTGTTTTACTCAGGAGACTTTATTGAACTCAAATATTAGTGTTTCAAACTGGTAAATTGTATTACAACGATTATATTTTAAGTAAAGGTGACGTTTTTTGAATTTTTTACAAACGAACTGCACTTTTATGGACTATATTATTTTCGTAATATGTTTTACTGTTTTAAAACACTAATATTTGTGTTTAGTGAAGTCTCCCGAGAATAACAGTACCCCCATGGAAAGTTAGAGAGTCACATATAAGGTTGCATTTCATTTTTTGGACATTGAAATTTGCCAGGTTGGTTATGTTGCCTTTGAGACCGTATGGTAGCCCAGGAATAAGAATTACCCCCATGATGGCATACCATTTGCAAAAGTAGACAACCCAAGGTATTGCAAGTGGGGTATGTCCAGTCTTTCTTAGTAGCCACTTAGTCACAAACACTGGCCAAATATTAGTTTTTTGCTTTTTTCACACAAAAACAAATATGAACGCTAACTTTGGCCAGTGTTTGTGACTAAGTGGCTACTAAAAAAGACTAAACATACCCCACTTTCAATACCTTGGGTTGTCTACTTTTTCAAATGGTATGCCATTGCCAGTATGCCGGTATGCCATTACCATTGCCAGTATTATGACATTCACAGCTAAAATGTCAGACGGAAGTACAAATTTAAAAAAAATTCTTATTTTCTCACATTTTATTAAATTTTATTCATAATAAATTATGTTCCATTCAGTCACAATTTCAGCTGTCCTGTGGCATTCTGTCTGATTGGAATCCAGACCAAATTAAACTACAAAATCTGCCCGTTGTTAAATAGTGGGAACAATGTCTAGATTTTCCAGTTCGAAGGGCTCCATACAACAGCATTTGTTTTTTTTCTCATTTAGTAGGAGGCCATTTGGACTTGGTGAGTAACCATGTGAAAGATTACAGAGTTACTTCCCCAAATAGTAAAAATATATAAATGAAACTAACAGGGATCCCCTAGACCAGGGGTACCCAACCCAGTCCTCAAGTATGCCCTAACAGTCCAGGATTTAGGGATTACCCTGTTTTTTTTCTTTCTTTCTAAAAATACCTTGGAAAGAACTGGACAATCCCTGATTCCTGGACTGTTAGGGGGTACTTGAGGACTGGGTTGGGAACCACTGCCCTAGAGCCAGTCCCAAGAGGGACTTCTGTCCACTCACAGACATAGGTGTGCACATAGAATGTACTAGTTATGACCAGGCACATATCAAAAGGTGACTTTGGACCCCTAAAGCACTTTGGCTTGCTGAAGTACTCTATTTGTGAAGAGTGTATTTTCTTTTTTTTATTTCACAAAAAAATGATTTTAATAGAAATTGGCACTTTTAAAAATTATCCTTGTTGCACCTACCTGGCTGACTGTCCATCAGAAAACAGATCCTTGCACGTCCTGGTTTGGTTAGCTCAGTGGAGCTAAATTCAAGAAGCAGCAATTGCTCAGAGCACCTACCTTGCAAAAACTCTACATTTTGTCTTTAAGTTTCTAACTGTACATCCACAGAAAGTTAGGAAGAGGTGGGCTTGCAAAGGCTTCAGACAAGAGATCTGCATCTTTTGCATGCTATGTTTAGATATACACCCAATGAAAATATGCATAATCAAATGCATTTGTTTCCATTTGGGGTATATTGACTTAATAGTGTATTTTTATTTTATTTTTTTTCTATTTGGGCAGGGGAGTGTCCTTTTAATTCAGGGTCAAATTTTTCATCCTGTCCAATGTTTCTCTCTATAGTTCATTTACTTGAGTTTGGGTTAGCTTGTTCTGTTTTTGAATATTTATGTACACACGTAGTTATCATTGTTTAGATGTAAAATTTCTAATGCAATGTGTTGTGAGATGGTTGAAAATGGAACAAGTGCCATTCTGTGAACCTCCAAACCCAGATTAACAGAAATTTTGTTTGGCGGCATCAATCTTAACTTGTTTGGGAGTCAGTAAACACAGTATCAACCTAAAGATGACTCTCACAAAAAGCAAGGAATGCCGAACTGGATTATCCATTAGGCAAATAAGGTGGCCGCAATAGTCTCTGTCTAAGCCTGGAGCTACAGCTCTGAACGGGCCCTCGTTGAGGTAACAGGGAGTTGAAAAGATTTCCCTGCTCCACCCTGTGCTCCCTCATGTCGTTGAGAGAGCGTTGTGGTCTGTACCAATATCAGGTATAGCCCACTTTTAGAGCACCCTCACAGCCCCCCTGGCGCTTCTCAATTACTCAGACTGCCACAACTAGTACTTATATTGGTACAGACAATGGAGCTCCCCCACCGGACCATCAGGGTCCCATCTCACACTCCACAGGACCACCATTGAAGGTAAGCATGGGGGGGGACATATACACACAACATTCAGCCTCTACATAGCTCTCAACCTTCTCCACATACCCAACACTCAGCCATTACACACACACACAACACTCAGTTAACACACACAACACTCACAAAAGCAGAGGCCAATCTGGCACTCTGCCTAGGGCCCTGAGCAACCTTAATGTGGCCTTGGGGCAGTGTGTATCTTGTAATTTAAGTATAAATAAATTGAGCTTTTCAAGAAATAGTAGGATATAAGTCAAAAAACTATTTACAAAATATTTCAAAATATGTGAGTAGGACGAACTGCTCTGCTATATTTTAAAGCAGTTCTGTCACCATAAACCAAGTATGCAAACGGTGAAGCGAGTGTTCACCATCTCAAAAGACCAGGAAGTGAGTAAGAATCCTAGGCCAATCCTAGCAGTTCTGCACTTGTCAGATGTTCCATTGTTGAAACCATTGCAATTGGAATAGAGTTACTATAACCCAGGAAAGTGTCTGTACTGCTTACATATGCTGTATTCACTTAAAGAGCATTTTATTTCAAATCCCTACAGAATTATAGAAGAGAATGCATGACAGTAGCAGCCAAGCTCCTTCCGCAATTGTTAATTCAAGGTTGTCATGATGCTTTGAGTACATTGAAACCTTGACCAAATGTGCAGTTTGAAACAACATACTTATACTTTTCAACTGATACTTTAACTCTAATTTGTCCTGAACAAAACCCAGCTATGTTAAGAGAGCAATTGCAACCTCCCAAGAGCTAGCAGCTGCAGCCTTGTAACAGTAATACTGTGGTAAGATCATCCTGAATTGCAGACCAAACTCTTAGCCCTGGGAGGGTCAAATATCTGTGAGACTCAACCCCCACCTTTCAAACTTCTTAAGTACCACCCATACCCCCATGTAATTTCAGTCAGTTAAGAAACAGCAGCAATAACGGTCTGAAATTCATTTTATTGGGAGGTTATTTTGGTATATACTTCTCGCTGTGGACAAGTTCTTTGATTGAAACAAGATGTTCCACTTACAAATTTTTATTTCATTACTAATCAGCCTGGTGTGCTCTGCGTGTGCCCAAGAAGGTAAGGAAAAGCTCGTAGAAATCTATTTTTATTGCCAAATTTGGTGCGTTTTACTAAGAAGAAGAAAAAACAATCATGTCTGGGAATATATGTGAATGATGTTCTGCTGTTTGTCCTATTGCTTAGTATTGTTTTTCCATAAGGATTGATGCTATGTTTTAAAACATGCAATTATATATAAGTTAATGAATATGTTTTGTTTCAAAAAGTGTAATATGCAGGACCGTTGGTATACAGTAATATCAAACTAACCTTGGTAATAACAAAATACATCGATTTTTAGGATACAAGGTGTGTCCTGTTGTGCAAAAACATATCTCCAACTCTTCTGTTCATAGAAAACTTTTAAAAGTTGAATGAAAATTTAGTGTATTTTAATACTTTATGTGTAGAGGTTCCTAATTGTTTCCTACATTATATTCTCATCAAGGGTTTGATTCTATTTTAAGACATACTTTTAGAGGAATGTGCCATCGCTTAGCTTATAAAAGATTTAAGTCTGTGATTTTCATGGGTGTGAGATAGTCCATGCTTTTGAAAGGGAATATCAGCAGACAGACAGATTAGGGTACAGGACAATGCATTGCACTACTTCAAAGAATTTTTATATGCTTTGGTAAATCAATGAAACTGCAAAAATTATAAATGCAATTGTAATTACCCAGTAGAACATTTTGCTAGGCTTTTTTTTTTTTTTTTTTAAACATATGCAGATGTTGTTTAAAGGGGGTTCCATTCAAATTATAGGTTTTATCTTTTTGTGAACATAGAAACTTTGTGCGATTCGAAACTGTTCACAGAGGCTGCTTCATATGAAACTGTGAAAATAATCCCTGGTAGGAAATCCAAATTACATTGGCTAACTCCTCTGGGACATCAATAGTAAATACGTATCTGTGTTCAGTTTAACTAGTCTTCAGGTTTAAGAGAAAAACAGTTGAAAGGGTTATTATGTAGCAATAGAGAACATTTGGCTAAAGAATGTGAGGAATGACAGGATAAATATCGTTATGTTGTTCTTTCTGAATAATTTCCATTCACGAAACCTTGTAGATATTCGCTATGCTGATTATATCAGTGTCGTTTGAAAAGCAAGTCAAGTACCAGACAATGGAAAGTATTCATAATGCAATTCCATAAAAAATATACATGTTTACAAGGTAGTCTGCAACAAATGTGTGCAGATTGCATAAATGAATGCTTTTTGTCTGAGTAGGTTCATTAAAGGAGAAGGAATCTTGAAAGGCTACAATTCCCATGATGCCTTGCTAGTAGCCATTTGTAAAGATTCCAAAAGGCAGCTGTTGTACCAGAGACTGCTGCAAGTATTGTATACAAGTGTCAAGTACCAATGTGTCCACTCATAGGCCTGTGAGAGCACCAGTTGTCGCAAGATGCTCCAAGGATAAGCACTATTAACTATGTATATCGGAAGATTGAACTTGTTTAAGAGATGTTTAATAGTGCATGGAATGCTGCTGTAAGTGTATTCCTCTAAAATTTAATAGAACACTATAGTGTCAGGAATACAAACATGTATTCCTGACACTATAGTGTTTAAAACACATTTTAGGTGGCCAGCCTCCCATTGCTCTTGTTAAAAGATAATAAAACCTATTTATTCCAGCGCTACGCGTGTTTGCCGTATCTGACTCCGCCTCTGCTGTTCCTCCATGGCTGAGTTTATAAAAAATTGCCACTAGAGCTGTTTCTAGGCAGTAATGTAAACACTGCCTTTTCTCTGCAAAGTCAGTATTTACATTAACAAGCCTGCAGGAAGATGCTAATGCTATACACTATAATAACTACATTAAGCTGTAGTTATTCTGTTGGCTATGATGTCCCTTCAATGTTAAATTTCATATATGTCAAACAGTTTTATGTCTACCTAAATATGTATATAATTTTGGTTTGAGCAATGGTTTTTTCCCTCATTTTCCCTTTTTCCTTTTTGTACCATTTCCCAAAGTTATTTTTCCAATGTTTTATAAAATTTAATCAAAAATATATGAAAATAAATCAGTGGCTTGTTGTCCTGGAATAAAACAAGCAAGCAATTCAAGTACGTTACAAAACAGCAAATACAAATTAGGCAGAAAAATAAGATGGGTCACTTCACAAGATATCTGGAACACGGGAAGAAGGATGAAGAACCAAACAACTAAGGAATATACTTGCAATATTGTGGTTATGTGTAGTGATAACTAGAGACTAGTGATGCTAAGAGCAATAGGGTACATTGTGCCACAGCAATGTACTTGCATCAAAACATCTGTTCTGATTGTGATAGATTTACTTAAGGGTGTATAGAGCTGCATTCAGGCATATGAGATGAGGGTGAGCATTCGCCATTCAATCTCTCTTGTATGATACATGTGTGGCTATTCAGGCAGCAACATGACTGCTTTCTTAACCTTAGATTTATTAAACTACTTTAAAGATGTTAATAAACATTCTTTATCCATTCAAAATAAAGATAATTTTGTTGTGACAAGTAAAATAAGGCATATAGAATAGATGAAAATAAGATTTTGGAGGGCAGAATTAAGAAACATTATAGGAAGAGGAATTGTCAAGAATCACTTTCTTCATGCAGCCCTGACCACACCTCATCTGGCTGTGACTCCCACAGCCTCCTACACACTTCCTGACAAAGAAGTCTAATTCTGCTTGGACTGCATAAACAAAGTGGCAGAGAACTGAGCAGTGACCCTACAGAGGCATAATCTACGAACCACAAAAAGCTTCATTAAATTGATACTATTGCCAACAGTACTACTTTAGCAGATCACTATAGGGTCAGGAACACAAACATGTATTCCTGACGCTATAATGTAAAAAACACCATCTAAATTTAAGCCATTTTTTTCATGCAGGCTGGGTCAGTCACAGCCAGGGGAGGTGTGGTTAGGGCTGCATAAACAAAAACATGTTTTAACTTCTTAACATAAAAACATAGAATGTGACGGCAAATAAGAGCCATTCTTCCCATCTAGTCTCCCCAATTTTCTTAATACTTGCATTAGTCTCTTATATCAAGGATAGCCTTATGCTTATCCCACGCATGCTTAAACTCACTGTGTAAACCTCTACCACTTCAGCTGGAAGGCTATTCCATGCATCCACTACCCTCTCAATAAAGTAATACTTCTTGATATTAATAGAAAATAAATTGCATAGAATTGCGCGTAACACTGCAGGGGCATGATCTATACACCACAACTGCTTCATTAAGCTAAAATAGTTTTTCTTGATTAATGTGTCCCTTTAAGCTAAAGTCGTTTTTTTGTTTACAGTATCTCTTTAATGTTTTCAGGCACGGAATCCATGAAAGGCATTTAATTTAAGGTATTAAGGAACTGATAGCTCAGAGGGTAGCCTCAATAAGAAGACAGTGAAGACTGTTTATAACCACTATTCTCTGATGTGTTTATTTCGCTTGCAGTAAATGTATCCTTATAAATAATCCCAGGTTTCCTAAATTCAAGTGTAAGCAAAGTTTTGATTTACTAGATCTTGCCAGGGTGATGAAAGATTGTTGTTTGCACATCGTGTAAGGTGTCAGATAAGTGATAGCACAAGGGTGCTTAAGTGACATTTAGATCCACTGAATAGACAAACAGAGTGTCTTTATAGCTTTGTTAAAGTTCATGATGAATGCAAGGAAATGTCAAATCAACAATGCAAAATATGTGTACTTTATATGTAGTGCAAGAAAAACGGGGGTATGTTAGAAACTTTACATTAAAGACACTTCAAGTCACTGTTTCTTTTTTTATAACTTTTTCTATTGAAGTCCAGATATAATTATGACATGCAATTAATGTGCGTGGTATACCAAAAGTATTACATAAAAGTATACATTCATCAAAAATCTTTAAAAAAAAAAAAAAAAAACAAGAAAAAAATTGCATGGTCTCCTATTAACAATATAATGTATAGACATAAAAACAACCACCTTTTCATAAATTCGATCTCTTCCTACAATTATTTCTTATAATCAATATTGAATATGGAAGAGATTTGTCCTTAATTATTCCAAACTTTATTAAATTAACTAATTTATTCATAGTTTTAGCCAATATATGTTTACATGTTTTATTATATTAAACCCTATCCTTAATATCTCCCTTCTAAGCAGAGCGTGAGGATGTCCAGCATCAGTTAGGGCGATCAAAAGTCGCCTAACCACCAGGAAGTGCCTCTAGTGGCTTTCTGATTGACAGCCACTATAGACAGTCTTAGTCCTGCAATGTAATCATTGCAGTTTTCTAAAACTAAAATGATTCACATTGCAGGAGTAAGCAGGACAGAGACACTGAACCCAGTGATCCCTTTAAAAAATGGCCACCACAGATTCTGATATACTTTCAAACTGGTTCCTTTATACGGCACTTTAAACTCCTCGTCAAAAAGGAGCCCACCGGCAAGTGATGTCTATCAGACTATTTAAACACACAATTCATACATAATATGTCTAAACCTATATATTTTATTGAATCTTGATGCATAGGTCATACAATAGATTCTGGAAAAATGTAAACTACAAAAGATTTCTCAAGTCACCATAGTATATTAAAATTCAGTAAGGCATACCTCCCGAAATCCAGAGTCCTGTAAAGCTGGATGCAGGTGAGAGGGGTAAAGAGGGGCCTATAGAGGCCTATAGAGAGCTTGTCTGTACATACAGGTCAGTCTGGCCAATTGTGCAGGGTCATAGTTTTCTGAAAGCAGTGCCAGCACATTTAACAATACACTCACACTATGCTTGTTGGGGTCAATCTCCTGGTGTCCCCAAACGCAGCACAGTGGGACAAGACCTGAAAATCGTGATTGTCCCACCGAAAACAAGATGGTTGGGAGGCCTGGGTATGGTCAATGGAAAGGTGATTTTATGGAGCCAAGCAGAGCACTTAGGATCAATCCCAGCTGGTATTTAAATGTCCCAGGTCAAGCATTAGGATTCAGAAATCAAGGGTGAGTCCATAAAAGACTTAGAATATATAATGTTAGTATACATGGCAATACATGCTCAGCTTTGATAATAATGAAGATACAGGAAGATGATAATAGATGGTTCCTTGTCAGGTACTGAAAATCCAATCTATACAGAAGCAGGAGCTGTCGTAAACATCAACTCAATGTGATGAATGGGTATCAGTGACCCCAATTCCCCTGCTTGCTTTAACAGCGATAATCGAGTATCAATACTCAGAAACAGGCAATGACCATATTGTTTGCCTTACCTTTGGTGTTCCTGTGTTTGCCGCAAACTGCCTGGATTTGCGTCTTCTTGCAGCAACTAATCCAGCAATTAAGTTGTTGCAACTCTCAGCAAATCCTAGCCATTCCATACACTCTTGCTCCATATTGGGGTTGTTTTAAGATATTTAGGGGAGATTTATCCAGATAAATGTGATATTCTGGGTGCAAATTGGTAAATATTGATACTTTCTATAGGTTGTCATGGTGATTGGCCCTTTTTATCACAGAGTCGCAAAACAGCATTTGTATTGGCCAAATACCTCCCTTTAGTTTGGTACTTCTAAGTGTGTAGCATTATACCAGCCAGACCTAATTATTGCATTTTGATGGCATTTAAAGAATGTGTATTCCCAAACATTCCAACGGTTTCTTTCAAGTAATTTTATAAGCATCGGAGTTCATGTTTGATTTGTTTTTACAGTATGTACTTCTGTGATAACTATTTTGAACCTATTGAATGAACACATGAGACAAGGAAAACATCTGTTACACTATTCTACCTATATTTCTGTAAACATGAACGTTTTTTTTTTTCTGTTAATGTTCCTGATTTAAACTTTTAGTGTGCACCCAACAGCAGTCTGTACATATACCTATAATGCTGTAACTTTTCCTGTAAATAAAATCAAAGTTTAAATAGAGTAGAAGCATTTATTGCAGAATTCAGTGCTTTCACTTTTTGTCTTAAGGTACGTTGTTGCCAGACACAGCTGACGGAACAGTGGATATCACAGAAAAAACCTTTACAGATCCAACAGAGTTCCAAACTCAGGTATGAGACGCGTTACCATCATCTTTTTTATTTTCAACATAATTAAATGAGAAAAGGAAAGATTGTAACCATATTTATATAGCAAGTAAAATGGTAGATTTATGGGGTCACCGTTTGCATGACCTACTTATATCAGTGAAGCACACGGGTACTGTGTAAATAAATGTCCCTTGCACTGATCTGAGCACCATTCAAAGAGGAACTGGATATTATTATTATATTTATATAGCGCCAACACTTTCCGTAGCGCTTTACAATGGGTGGACGGATAAATATGTAATTGTAACCAGACAAGTTTGACACACAGAAACAGAAAGTGTAGTTATGAGGGTATTGAAGTAATTTACTTTTGCAGAGGAAAGAGTCAAGCTGTAAGAGCGTAGCATAAATTCAGAGTGGAGAAAGTCAAATGCAAAGTGAGACTTACTGAGGCAGCTTTCAGCAGTTCTGGAGCATTTTTGGAGGTATCGAGTAAGCTTGGTGTGCCAAGGTTGTAGTTGTGGGCGCTTCCTGCGTTTAAGTGTAGGAGGTACCATGATGTCTAGTTGAGAGGAGAGGGTGGAATGGTAGAAGGAGATTGCAGAGCTAGGGCAGGTGAGGTTTGAGATAGATTTGGATATCCCCTGGTATAACCAAAGCAGAAATATAAAATAGGCAACACAAAATCAGGATACTCTTGGAGGAACACAACAAGAATATACAATGTATCAGCTAATAATCCTTAACCATTTACACAATGCAAAACCACAATAACCCTTTATGTGCACACACGTTTTAGAAGTAATTAAGTGATACTTGGGTCAAAAAGTCGACACTTGCTGTGTTTATTGTGGCATTATCTTGCCTATTCTTGTTGTTTTCCTCAAAGAATATCAGATAAAGGAATAGTTTCACTCAATCTTGATTACATATAGCCAATTATTTCTACTGAATAAACATCTGTGTTCTAAGACTGTAATATATACACTCAGGCAAGTTAAATACCTTTATGTGGAAAGGTAAGGTAACTGCAAAAGGTAGTACCTGAGAGATCAGATAGAGTAGTAGAGGTAGGCTAAAAAAACTTCCATAGAGGTTTGGAAAATATACCTTTTAACAGGTAAGCAGCATGAACAACGGTAAACGGGGTAGAAGATATCAGAATTTCCATTTCCACTGAGTCCTGTATTCATTATTGATTTAATTCAATAAGCATTCTACATCAGAATGGAGTAAGTTGCTAAGTCAAAAATCATTGAACCAGAATTCAGATTTGTAGTGAGTAAGAATTTTTCAAAAACTTCACTTTTTGCCTTATCTTTGCCATTCACTTCTCAATTCACCACATTTTGCTATTTATTGACCAAACTCCTTGTCCTTATAAGAGTGACACAGTAAAGTTATACTTGCGAAGAAAACTCAGTGATTTGCTAGTCATTCAGCAAAGAAAATGTGCAGATGTAGCAGAGACAGAAGGTAAGAGGGTGCCTTTATAACTATTGTTCTTTACAGAAGGAAAGTTGTATTGGTGCTAACTGCAAGGGTGTGAATGAAGTGCTGATTCGTCTGTCGAGGAAGGGTTCGAACACCTTCCAACTTTTAAAATGGTCAAAGGGAGTCTGTTTAATTTAAGGGATCTTTTTTAGAGGTGTAGTTGGCATTCAGCACATATATTAATAAAAAAAACACATACAAAAAATAAAGCAATGTTTTACACTCCCAAGTATGGAGCCACTAGAAAAGAGTGACATAAGGCTGACAAAAAGACCACTTTGGGCAACATAGCAACGTCATCGTTATGAAGCTGTTATGGTGTGAGGAGGTCCCTTTGCCATCTTACCTTGAGGGATTAAATGGTCAATGGTGGCAATTTAAGTGTGTGATAGTTTTTTGTTTGTTTGTTTTAGCTAGCAAATATTCTTTAGATCTATTCTTTGCTTTGCTTGCATTTCTAAATATAGTCCAAAAACTTGGCTGTATTTTTATTCTAGTAGTTGGGTGTTGTCTTTGTTATTTCTTATGGCTTTTAGTCTAGCTTGATGTACCTATGTATGCAAAATAAGTGTGACATGATTTGCTGCTACCACATTGCAGTATAAAGTTCTCCATTATTAAATGAACCTGTTGGGGAAGTTGTTGAGTGATGAACATATTTTATTTTTATTTTTTTATTTTTTTATTGTTAGCCCCACAAGTCTGATACTTGCCTGTCCAATATATGTGTAAATAGGAAATAAGATTTTAATAGATCAACAAACAGGTGTTAGACAGACCAGTGATAGACAAACAGTTCAATGGCAGACAGACAGGTAGATAAATGACAGAAAACAAGAAATGTTTGGTTTTAGTAAACTTTTTTTCTTTTATTTCTACATATAATATGTTTATGAATGGAAGGAATGTCCCTAGATCATATAAAGGAATATAATACACAGCGGCTACATATGAGTGATTGCAATGTATAAAATACCAAGGATAACTTGACCTCTGTTTCCTGCATGTATTCTGCTTTTGATGTTTAATATAGAACTGTTTACGCGTTACTTATCTAAAATTAAGCTATTAAAACATGGAGTTTTTCAATAAAAAGGACATTGTAGTGGGTTCTTGCAGTGCTGCACCATTTAAGACAAATAACTGGTTTGGAAAATAAACTATAATAAAAGTCAGATCATTCTGGCCTAACGTTGGCAACAAGACAAAAGAATAAACTGTTATTACAGGGGGTAATAAATTCCCCTTGTTAAATTGTCTCATACCTTTCTGTATATCCTCTCTACCTCACGTCGTCACGGTGAATTAAATAATTATTTTTTTCTTTGCGTTTCAGGTTTTCACAACTGAATATAATGTTACCGAACATAATCACCTCACAGAAAAATCAACAGTGGAAACAGAAGTTCAAACCACAGGAAGTGACAATTCAACAAATTTTGTAGTTATAGAAGAGCCTGAAGGTAGACAAATATGTTGTGTTTATACCTTTATGTGTGTTTGTGTGTGTGTGTGTATGTATATGTATGTATATATATATATATATACTGTATATACATATACACACACACACACACACTTTATTAAGCAAAATGCATTCTATTACTACAGAAAAGAGTTGGTCTGCACACATATACCCCAAAAATACCTAACAAGTGAGCCCATCTCCATCCTTCACCCCAGATGTTACAGGATGATAGGAAATAAATTGGGGCCCGTGAGATACTCTGTCTCCTGGAACCATATAATTCCCACTCATTAGGGCAAAAGGGAGTACAATACATTACTCTGTGTTTAAGCAGTGAAAGGCACAAAATAATGGAGTCTCGTGGGTCCTTTACTTATTAATTAGGGCCTCAATAGGTCCCAGGAGATGAACAGTTTTCTGTGCCCTTTATTAATTATTGTGGATATCTCGAGAAAGCCCAGACGATATCTAATCTTCAAGGCCAATATAGCTAAACTAGGTCCATCTCCTGCCCCCCAAGGTTGCTAGAGGCCCATAGCCACCCACCCAAATATGTCCCTACTTATCTCTTCACACTATTAATCTAATAATAGTGAAGGGGTTGGCAAAGTGAAAAATTGTTATAAAAATTACTTTTTTTATTACCATTTGAAGTTTTATTTCTGTCTTCTTTCTTCAGTCCCCCCCCCAAAAAAGTGAACAAAATCCATTATAACCCTTTGAAACTGTTGAAATATTTTTTTTTTTTTTTACATCTCAATTTGTAAAAATAAGTGCCAAAAAAATTAACCAAATCTTTTTTGGTGGGCTGAGGAAATAAGACTCAAGTTAGAAGACTTTAAATGGTATGTATAGCTGCCTGGGGCCTGAGAGAGTATATACATGTGTCGAAATTACTAATTTTATCTTCTCAACAACCTCTGATACCTTCCTAAGACTTAGCTAATACTTATCTGAGTACAAATTCAACTATGCACTATTTTAAGTGAGTTTCTGCTTCAGATGTGGAGAGAATCTTTTCTTGCAGCATTTGATGACATATATTCAAAATTTTGGAAATGTTTCAGTAAGTTGATGCTTTGACTCACCCCATATGATGTAGCTCATGTCAAGCCAGTTTTCTTAATTAGAGCCTCAGTTTACCACTGCGAATATTTGCAGAGATCTATGAGTCTTATACTGGGAAACCGCCCATATCCTAAGGAAGCTTGTATAAGAGACTTTATTTCTACTTTGACTGGGTACTTGGAGGGGTCAGTTGACATTGGTTGCTCATATTAACATCTCGGGCTGGAGACTTGGAGTAATGGAGCAATATTGTGACAACTTTGAAGGACCATGCAAAGTCCTTCATCTTTTTTCACTTCTACCAGAAGCTGTTTCCTATATTTTGTGAAATGTAACTCAACATTTTGTGAACTCTCACTCAAAGAATAACATTGTATTTTTCATACAGTTTTTCTTTTCTTTTTGACTTATTGGTCCCCTTTACCTTTAACCATCTATGGTGATGTCCAGCTTTATGGTCTCAGGAGTTTGGGCACCACCGGTTCCCTGGGAGGGGGGGTCTCATTACTTAAGACAGGGCCCAAGAGCCTCCACTCCTTTTTAAGTATTCATTTGTTTGGCCTTTCAGTAACTGCAGTGGAGAGCTGCATACGGTTTAGTTCTCCACATTATGCTCTCTCTAAATAAATTTTGATAAACTAATCAAGTCAAGCAGCATGATAGTCATGTAACAATGTATACTTTTAATGGTAAGACATCTCTGCAGAATCAGGTTTTTTTTTTAAATACCATAGATATCTCTGACAGTATTAGCAACCTTGAAAGGTATGCTTGTTAGGGGACTGTAGAGCAACAAATTGCAAACCCCATAATTATTAGTCAGGCATTTAGTGAGAATAGAGGCCTTCAGTGTAAGCAGTTTAGAAAATGTGTATCAGTGAGGTTTAAGAGGTTAGGTATGTGTGAAGTTATGTAGATCCTCATGTAGTTTACAGGCTTAGTCACTCCAAATCCTATACTTCCATTAGATCACTTCAAATGACTTAAAATCTAAATTAACTAGCAACAGGCTAGAGATTGCCCAGCCCTTTTCAGAATGCGGGCATCTTGGCATTCATTTTTTTTTCCAGCCAGGAGATTGTGGTAGCAAGGCTTAGCATTGTACACAGCCCATGGATGGGAAATAACATTACCTTTGCTGACTTAAACATTCCAAATGCCACTTAAAACATTGTGGGATAGAAGTAAAAAAAATCTTTACAAATTCCAGTTATGGTGTCTTGAAATATATGGCTATTATTTATCAGAGACATGGTGGGAAGTGGTTCCATCAGGATGCATACAATGTTTGTTTTAGGATATTCTAGATTGAGTTAACACACTGCACCCATTCAGTTTACTTTCTGGAAATGTTACCACTTCTTTAACATAATTTCTCAAGAGTAAATATAGTCTCAATTATATTTCTTACAAAAGGCTTTTAAACCAGGTGATTGCTACTGACTTCAAGAAGTAATCATTAAGAATCATTATTTTTAAAAAGGTACTTGAACAGTTATCCTCAAACATTTTGGACATACAGTAAATATAAAAATATAAAGGTTAAATATATCAACGAATAAAACCAAGAAACTATAAACTATAAACTATAAAGGTCTTGGTCATTAAGGTGAAACGTGGCCAATTTCTTTTTTTTATTAGTTTCGATACAAATGAAATAGAGAATTTCATATCAAACTTAGAATCCATTCCTTTCTGGTCTCTTGGGCCAGAATAAGCTATGCTTACTATGTAAGTCAATGTTTAATAATTGCAGACACTCTCTGTCTCTATGGAAAGAGTTATATTTTAGATTGTTGATCCTTTAGTAATAAATATTGATATATCTTAGTGATTAAATGAACATTTGATGCATCAAAACCACAAACACTTTGAATTTTTACCTAAGAAAATGTAGATTGGAACATATCAAAACTTAACGTAGTTATGTTACCCAGCCCTCCTCCAGTGTGGATTCCCCTCCATAAGCGCTGGGAGAAGGTGATCTCAAATCCTCCAAGGGCCACAATGAGTAAATTGAGGGCTTCCCCTTACCATCTACTCCAATCACTGCTAGAACCAGACATTCGGTTGGAAGAAGTCCTACAGAGACTTAAGAAGTCCTACTGGGACTTCTGATAGGCCAGCTATAGGGAAGATCCTCAGATCTCCCCAGCATGCTTGGATCTGGCAGCCCTGTGCACTGTGCAAAGGTACCTCAAGTACATGAACGGCAAACGTGCCATAGGTTGCTGACCCCTGGCCTTCCCCTTGAGATGAAAGTGTTAATAGAGCAGAACTACTATATAAATATTGTGTTAAATGGGTGCTTTAAGCAACTTAACCACAAGAGACTATTTTAATGGTTATGGTGTAAAGAGTTTTACATTGTTATGCCCCACTTTTTTTTGTATGCCAGTCAGATAAATAATTTAGAATGTCCCTTTAAAATTGTATGTACATGTTTTAGCCATTTTGAATACATTGTATTACACATTTCTGGGTCCTGATTGGTAAATATTTCAAAATCTGCATCTGTCTGCCTCTTTGTGGTTGCTAGGTGACTGGAAAATGTAAAAATTGTTGTAACATGTTTAATAGCTGCAGAAATCAGGTAAGATTTGGTGGGATTATACATGTTCCCAAAAAAATGTAACCAGATGCTTATACAAATACACTCCTTAAGGCTGCATTGATTCACCAATCATCTAACCTACACAGAATATATTTAACATTTTTCCTCAACTGACCCCCTTTAAAGGGGCAGCAAGCCACCATGCCCAACATGCACATGGTTTAAAAATGTCAGCAGTTGGTCAAGTTGAAACATGTAATTACAGATCACTCACATGTTGATTTTTTAGTAAAGATCTATGTAGTATTTACATTGTCTCCTATGAAAGCTTCAATCTGTCCATCTAGTGTTCTTCACTCCTGAACTATTCTTCCATTCTACTTTTTCAATCTTGCTTTCCTAAAATACATAAGGCAAATAAGGGACTACTTTGTCTTTTGTTTTTTGTTCTGTTTTTTTATTTGTTTGACAAAACTTGAGAAAAGACAAAAGTGAATTGGGGGCACACTCAGAATATGCATTTCTTAGGAATGGTGCTGCCGTAGCGACCAACATTTATACATTATACATCTTATGGAACAGCGCACACAAAAATATGCAGTTTAAAATTTTATAATGCTACTTAATATCACCTATCACATCAAACAAATATGGGGGTTCAGTTCCACCATATGACCATATTGTGTTAAGCCCACCACTTCTTCACAGTACCCCAATATTGGTGGGTCCTGCACTAATTCCAATGTGGTAGACAAATTAAATAGTGCAAAATAAGCTGAAGTGTGTTTTAATAATGTTTTAATATTGTATATGTATACATATAGCATGTATATGATATGAAATTAATGTGATGTGATAAAAAAACACAATTTAAAAAAATGCAATTTCAAAGATAAACAATTAAAGTGATAGGGCTTTGATGTGTATACTTACAATGTAAATCATATACAATACAATACAGTCAAAACACTATCACTTTAATTGTGTATAATATATTGTTATATCAGCACTCACGAACTTTGTAAGAATATTCATTTTTTCATCATTCACAGTATAAATTAGAGCAGTGTTGAAGTTTTAGTTCCAGCTCGGAACTTTCATCCTGAAACGTCTAAATTTGTAAAAAAATTTAGTCACAGCAATTCAAAATTTAGTGGACACACCCATTTACTACATTAATGAATCTTAATTATATTTTTTTATATTGATTTTTTTTGAGAGAATGTACTTTTTTTATGTGACTGAGCAGCCATGTTGGATCAGACTCCACTATTTTCTGACCAGCTACTGCTCAACCTAACTTGCCTGCTGCTGTGCTTGCGCTGTGTACTCTGAATGCAATTGAAGCAATAAGCAAGTTAGGTTAAGCAGCAGCTGCTCAGAAAACCATAGGATCCGATCCAACATGGCTGCTCAGCAGAGCCTATTCAAAAATATTAATATGCATGATTTAAAAAAAAGTCAATATTTGACGGCAGTTGTCCTTTAAAGAATAGAAAATAAGTACATTGAAAAGCTGAACTCTAACCTACACACTTACCTTCCATTTTAACATTTTCTGTGACATCAGTATTGGAAATATTAAAGTCTATGCCACATGTATCATTCATTTTTTCATTTGTTTTTTTTTTCTAGAAGGCCTGGGATTAGCTGCATTAGTTGGAATAGTAGCTGGTATCATCATGCTGATTGGAATTAGTGCCGTTATCATCATCTTAATTGTACGGAAAATGGGCAGATATTCGTAAGTAAATATAACGTGACTAAATTGGTTGTGCTGTTTATCCAACAACTGCAAATTACTCCGAGGCAGGGATTCATTTTCATAGAACTGTCTGTTAAAGGGTTACTGAAAGCAGCATGACCACTGCAGTGTTTTGAAGTGGTAATGGTGCCTGAAATCTGTATGTGCAGCATTTCATTATGAAACACTGCACATATGGAGATTAAATCCTCTGCTGTCGGAGGGCAGCATCATTGGGAAGTCATTAGTCAGTCCAGAACTAGAGTTCCAGGCTGATTATTGTCAATTCCTTGCATGGATGCCATCAGGCTCTGTTGCTCTGCAAAAGTCAGATACACACCACAATCACCATAGAGGAGAACCTGCATCCAGCAGGTCCAAGTAAAAGGGAAAGCCATTGCAAAATACTGGGAAAAGGACTTTTCTTAATTTTGATCTTTTAGCTGTTTAGTAGATATTAGATAACTCGGTGAATAAACTCGTACCCTTATGTGGCTTTACCAGATTTAAGGATAGCAAATTAGAACACTGCTTAGTAGAAAGCTCCCTTATTTGGTATCCTTAAATATTGCAAATCCATGTAAGGATACCAAATTAGAGAGCCACCTACTAAACAACTAAAAGAGAACAATTAAGACAAGTGCTTTTTCTTAATTTTGATCTTTCGGTAGTTTAGCAGATAACATCTTAAACTGGTACTTTGTAACCTTGTGACTGCTATTCATTCAGTCTTTATAAATAAATTTTTTTGGAAATAAACAGCTTTAGAAAGTATACAGTGTCATTAATCCTGGAATATTTCACACAATGTTTGAAATGTTAGTATAGATATATAATAAATAGATAAAACAGATAAATAAAAATGGTCAACTACCTTGCTTACATGTAACTATAAGAAGCCTGAATGCATTACTAGCAGTACAGCTAAAATAGCAAAATAATGTAAAGAGACTGTATGCATTCCAATATAAAGCCCACATGCAATAAATACAGTTAAATCATATATTTTGGAAATAAAATGATTCAAAAACTGCTATAGCAATATTTATAAATCTCTGAAATGCTAATGCATGCTAACAATGAAATGGTAAATTCCATTCAATACTTCCCCCTCCCTGTTTGTAAGAATGATGTGACCCATTGAAACTTCCTTTACTGTTTGGATTCAGGGTTTCACCCTTTTAAAAATGAGAAGAATATAATGAAAGTGTGTGTTTTTTAAATTTATTTTATTATTTATACATTGCATTACAGTTAATGGTGAGCATTCAAATTAATTTTATTACTTTGTTGGGGTACCCGTGAAAAATGGTTAGTATACTCAATATACTACCCCAATTTTTTTCCAGTTATAGAGCTCGCAAGCTAATGATGCTGTCTCTCAGTTTCATGTCAAACCATTTTAAGCAGTTTGACAAAAACGTGAGTTCCTGAGGCAAGCTTCTCACTTGTGTGTCAGCTAACTGTCTCAGCCAATTAATGCACTCCAAATATGGTCAAAATTGATATTGCTAATGCATAATTGTAATTTTCCTATTAGCAATGCAGAGAACAATGGGCTAGGCCCTCACTTTCTGATAAGTCTCTTAAAAACGGTTTTATACAGAACCTGGGGACAGAACCAGTAGCCTACTAACACCATAACCACTGTTTTACACAAACAAGATAATATGTCAGTATGACTATTAACTGTTCATGTTTATATGCTATTTTGGCTACACATCATACGGGTTAAGAAATTTTAAGAATTCTTTCTTACTTCATCAGGCCGTGAGCTGTTGTAAAGGAAGAATAAATTACTTACAGAAAAAAAAGAAGATTTGGAGGAAACTAAATATCTGGAAAAAAAAAATCTGAACTCCATGGACAATCAGGGAAAGAAGTCACGGGGGAGGGAATGGTTATCAAATGACACAAAATCCATGTGCTGAAAGAATCTATGTACTAAAGAGTTAACTATGACTTAAACACTGTTACCTATCCATGGTCTAATTATTGAGCCCCGATGAATATATTCTAACCCACTGAAAGGAATATGCATAATGATAAAATGAGGGAGGAGACTTTTTTTTAATCAATCAACATTATCAGAAATGGCTGACAGAATGACTATTTCTTTATCCACAACCTTAATGTATGTCTATGAATATTAACATGTATTCTGCATACACAGACCAGTAGCTACCAATGGAACTATTATAAGATCAGAAATTGTATTTTTCTCGATATGACATATTTTGTTGTCAAGAGTATAGCACTACAACATCTTAATGTTTTTGGAGTATAAAGTATTTGCTATTAATTTGATCTCATTTTTAGATACATAAATAGGGTATTTAAATGTGATGCATCATAGCTTCTGAGACTTAATGCAGTGCTGATGGTGTAAGGAAACTGGTATGGCTTTTCTCCCTGCTTCTTTTTTAATGGTTTTAAAGTAGGGTGACAAAAAACAAGTTAGGTTTCCAGTGCACTCAAAGGCCACTCCGCTCGTTGGGACATCATAGTGAAGAAATTTCACTTCCTCACTACCCATCCAAATTTGTTTGGCTGTGCAGAATTTATGCCGTCATTCTAGCACAGCCAAATCACTGTAATTCATTTTCTGCACTGCCAACTTCACAAAAACTCCCTTATTGAAGTGGCATGTCCATGATTGAGAAAGTGAATGGATTGTTTGTAATGCGTGTTTAAAATTCAGGTGTGTATTATTGTGTTTCTAATATGTGTGATTCCAAGTGCATTTTAGTTCTTCCTGGTGTCTTTATCATCCCCCCTAGTGTCTGCCTCTCCATTTCCTCCAACTTTTATCTACCACTCTTCCTGACCATTATGCCATTTTGTCCCTCTCTCTCCATATTATCCCAATTGTGTCACCCTCCCCACCTAACCCCCACTTGTGTTTCCTTCTCTCCCTTATCTATGTCCCAATCGTGACACCCTCCCCCTATCACTTACCTAATTTTTTCACCCTGCCTCATTTCTATCTCAGTTGTATCACTGACTTCATATCATCAACTTTTGTCTCCTTTTCCCTTTTATATTTATCCCATACTCCCAATTTGTGTCTCCTTCTCAGCTGTCCTTCCCAGTCTCATCTCCCACTCACTTGTGCCCCTTTTGTCTTGGATTTCTCAGATGTCCCTTGTCTCTATTGCTTCATTTTTTTGTCATTCGTGCACTAAAAGTGTCCTCATATGGCCCTTGTCTCTCATGATTCTTATTCCTAACCCATGCCCCAAGTATTTCTCAGCATCTATCCATTCCAGCCTATCTACCCACCCTTTTCCCACCTCGATGGACTCTTGACCACCAAAGAGAAAAATAATTTCCCTCTCCCCATTCTCTTTAGTGAAGTTCCTTCTCACCTGTAAGATCTCTGTGAGTGCTAGACATTTCTATCCCTGAAGATAAGCACAAGAGCAGATGTTATCTGATTTGTATTTTCTTTATTCCACTGGCATGTTAGTTCCTTGTGCGTGAACCTCATGGCTTTTCCTCTATTAAACCTGTCCCACCAGTGCCATGTTCTTTGCAAACAGGTCTAATTAATGGCATTGTTCAATATTGTTTCATGTGTCAAATCTGTTGTGTCTCAAGCCTACTGCCCCAATTGGATGCATCACCAGTGTTGTCTGTGTATCATTGCATTTGTTGTGTTTCCTCTGTCATGTCTGTGATATATTTTATGCATACTTGAGGACATTTTGTGTTGTTCTAACATGTAGGTGTGCCACAAAAGTGGATGGAATAATACAAAAAGGGGCCATATTCCTCTTAAGAGGGCAAGAGTTTCTAATTTTGAACCAGGTGTAAAGAAAGTCGAACTAAACACTATTTCTGCCTGACAGAAAGTCATTTTCTCACAGAGAAGTGGTAATTAACATTTTGCCCCAAAGAAACCCAAAAGGAAACTAGTTTGGTCTTTGTGTACGCTTTCTGTGATATTTTATATTCTTTTTCCGTGTTAACTACCATGTATGTACTGTTAATACAGTTTAACCCCTTAAGGACCAAACTTCGGGAATAAAAGGGAATCATGAGATGTCACACATGTCATGTGTCCTTAAGGGGTTAATGAACTAAGCAGTCAAAAACTGGTAAATATAACTCATCACCACGAACCGTTCGCAGCGAACTCCGGTCAGCTGACACAGCCCAGCCAATCTCCAGCAGATCCTCCCTCCCACCTCCTGGACAGCATCCATGTTGAAGGCAGCTTCAACATGGATGCTGTCCAGGAGGTGGGAGGGTCTGGGAGGGAGGGTGACCGGAGTTCGCCGCGAACGGTTCGTGGCGAACCATTCGCGCAAAGTTCGCGAATGGTTCGCGACATCTCTAATCACAGTATGAATAAATTGTGCCGCACACTCATATTGAAAATATTCAAATATATCTACATTTAGCCTCCAGAGGGTGGTTACATTGCCCGTTTCCAACCATTGGAACAAAATGCTGTTTGTATAATTATTACTAATTTACAGAAAAAAAAACAGTGATTGACTTTAGATTGATTAGCAAACTCACGATTGGCATCTAAAATTATATTAGCACTTTAAATCTTTCGTACAGTAATACACATCACTCTACCACACAGAATTGCATTGCTCTCTGTATATAATTCCATTTTGTAATTTAAAACTTTGCCCAGCTCTGCCCACTGCAAACACTCAAGACACAACAGTAGGACAGGTAACAAAAATTAATATTAACTATGCCTGAAGATTGAAAATAAATCTTTACATTCTAAACAGGATTGTCTTTAAAATTAACATAAACATTTGTCTATAGTAACATATCTCAGAAATTAATAACTTTACTTAAGTTAAAAATAATGTACTTAAAAGTTAGTAATTATAGACCACAATTATTTTTAAAGATTACCAAATCTACTTTTTAATACATTTACTCAATACTTTTTAATAATACATTTGCACTGACATTATTTATTTATGTTTAGAACATGTTCCCAGCATTCATCAAACCTGCTCTTACTGGGTTTTTATTTTTTGGGGGGTTTTTTTGCGTGGTCTTGAAAGCTTGCACTCTAATTCTAACAAACTAACCCAATAAATAGATCACCATTACTCTACTTGTCAATTTAATATGTGTTTAGTTGAAGTTTTATAACCTATTTGATAATTCCATATTCTGGGGAAATGGACAAGTCTGTATTTAGATGCCTCTGGCATAGTGAATTCCATAGCATTGTGTTAAATATATTACTACAATTAAACACCAAAATATTGTACTATGTTTAAGATTAACCCAAATTAAAACTGGTTTTATTCTCTATTAACACAATTTTGATTGTGGCTCTTACTTAAAAGATCTTTTAGTTTTAGTTTAGTTTTAACTTCAGCTTTTTCAGTAGGAAGGCTGAAAACAGATTGTCATTTGGATAAAGATAAACTAATGTAATTTTAAGATCCATGTTAATATATCACTTTTGCAGGATCTTCATTGTTTCACTGTGGAAGACATAGGATGTCCCCATTGCTGACAGTCAATCAATGAATTCTGCAGCGAGAGTCTTCTATTTAAATGGAATCAATAGAGGGGAAGTTAACTTGGCCTTCTATGTCAATTTCAATAAAGGGTTACTTCAATTTCGATTAGAGTAACTCTTGCTTGCTTTCCCCTGTATAAGAAAAAAAGAAAAACGAAAGAAAGACAAAACTTACCTTGGCCAAGTTTTCCAGTAGCCCGATCCCCCATCCGTGTCATCACTCCCCCTTGCTGCAGAGTGGCAGGGCTGAGGGAGGTATTGGGTTGATATTGGCTGTCTATTGCCAGCAGGCTATGCATGCTGACAATGGGTGCCTTTTATGCACAGAACTGACATTAGTAGCCTGGAACTCTCTTTTCAGGCCTCTAACAATGCTGCCAGAGTTGGAGTGCAGACCCCTGAAGCAAAGTTCTGTATCTCTGCATGTGCAGCATTTTTAGTGAAATGCTGCACATACAGACTCCAAATACCATGAACATTTCAAATCACTAAAGTGGTCATGGTGCTTTGGGTAACTTTTTAAAGGAACACTCCAAGCACTATAACCACTACAGCTCACCGCGGTGGTCAGGGTCAGAGGAATGCCCTGGTTCCCCCAAGTATGTAGTCAGACTGCTTAAAAATAGTTTGGCATCTTACCAGGGTCTGCTGGGCACCCGCCTCTTCTTCCTCTGATGTTCAAACCCTGCTAGGAACTTCCACTAGTTTCACTGAGCAAAGTTCTACCATGCTGGGATGGCTCATTGGCTGAGTACTAATAGACAGTGAGTGCTTCCCTGCACCACCAGGCTTAGTTTAGTGTCGGAGCTTCCAGGAGCTACCGGTGGAGCTTTTATCAGCCATTTCTTAAACTGTATAACTAATTACCCTAGGCTGGCGCACGGGTGTTTCTGGAACCATGATCACTACAGAGGGCTGTAGCAGTTATAGTGTTTTGAGTGTTCCATTAAAATCAAAGGTTCTCTCACAGCTGCTGATGAGCTATGAGAACAAACTCAAGATTCTAGAGTAGTTTACATTCAGATTTTGTTGACGAAGCAGATAAATAAAAATGTTATGTATATTTTTAGTCATATAGCACCAAGACATTTTCCAACTGTTCTTCAGATCAATGACTGAAAATCACCCTTTTTATAACCATGAGAAGCACAGAGGGCCAGCATTTTTAACAGACACATGCACATGACATAGAATCAAAGTTTATTATATTTTTATTTTATTATTTTTGGGGAGGGGGGGAATAAAACATTGACAGCATAAGCGTATTTGTTTTAACATAAAGGTGGCCAGGAAGTAGATCCCCAGCTGTTGCAGAACTGCAGCTCCTATAATGCTCTGCCAGCCTCCCAACATCTGGCCATATAGAAAACATATATACGGTAGTATAAACATACTACTAGAACTAACCTTAATTTCCAGCTTTGTGATTCATTCAGTCACCAAACATTCTGAGCTTGTAAAAGGGGGATCCTAGGAACGACAGGGGGGGTGGAGGAATACGGGTCTTGAAGAGTAACTGTCTCGTTTAAAGATTTGGGAGGCATGACTGTAATTCCACCTCTGATTCTCATCTTAACAATGGCCCAAGTTGGTGTAGCTTTGTGAGTTGAATAGTGCTGGCCTGGCCTTTCAGGGGAATTATGCAGATGTACTTATTCATGTGTGAATAGATGTGCACACAGCTGTCTTATTTTGCAAGAAAGCCAGTGCTCATCAATTACTCACATGAGATATGAGGGGCCTATTCACTAACCTGCAAATTATGGTGAATTTCATAATGACTTTCCAAAATAAGGTCATTATAGAAGACGTTTTTAAAAAAAATATCTAATTCAGCTGAAGTGGAGATTTTATGCAATTATATAACTAACTTGTGTTTTGCAATCCAATTCCTACTGCATGAAACTCATTCTTTAATGAATAATGATTTGATTAGATTGCTGCTGATGTTGCAAGAGCAAGGGATGCCAACCTTCGGCATGCCAGATGTTGTGGACTACATCTTCCATGACGCTCTAACAGCCACAATGCTCGCAAAACTTCAGGGGAGTTGTAGTCCTAAACATCTACAGAGCTGAAGGTTGCCTACACCTGCTCTAGAATTACAATCTGCAACCAAAACAATTACAACATTTTATAACACATTGAAATCTAATCTTCTGCCAAATAAAAGTTGAAATTGAATTGTGTGATTTCCTCATTTCTGAGTCAAATATAGAACGAAAAAATAAAATGCAATCCTGTCCCATCCTTTTTTTTTCACCACACTTTATATTCGAAAGTACAATAGTTGTTTAGTCATAAAATATATCATTAGCTTCCAATTGCTGGCAATGGAACGTATTGTGTAGTGTGGCCAACTTATGTTATTTATGAATATAGAAGTGAAACTGTCTGAATAAGTCCCCATGTTGTAAACATTTTAAATAACTATGAAATAAAATTTCTGTACTGTATAAAAAAAAAAAAATGTTTTTGTTGGGATACCATTGTTTGGCTGTATTTACTGACTGCATCAAAAACATTATATATATATATATATATATATATATATATAAAGTTATCAAAAGTGTTATCAAAACATTTTGCTAAACAGAAGATTTTTATATTAATCTTTTGCATACAGCAACTTATCAAAAAATGTATAAAAAAAAAAAAAAAGTCATAGCAAGACAGGGTTAGTGTTTAGCTTAAAGGTGCACTATAGTGCCAGGAAAACAAACTCATTTTCATGGCACTGTAGGGTTATTTGGCCCCCACTCCCGCTGTGCTGAAGGAGTTAAAACCCTTTCAGCCACTTACTTTATTCCAGCGCCAGGCTCCCTTTGTGCTGGTGACCACTCCTCCCCCTGCCGACGTCTGCTCCGAATGCGCATGCGTGGCCAGAACCATCACTCAATGCTTTCCTATGGACATCATTTTCGCATTGGGGATCGCGGAAGTAACCTCTAGTGGCTGTCAGGGAGACAGCCTCCAGAGGCTGGATTAACCCTCAATGTAAACATAGCAGTTTCTCTGAAACTGCAATGTTTACAGCTGCAGGGTTAAAACTAGGGTGACCTGACACTCAGACCACTTCATTGAGCTGAAGTGGTCTGGGTGCCTATAGTGGTCCTTTAAAAGAGAAATTGTGTAAAATAACTAGAAAACATTTAGTCATGACGCCTGTTTTATATTTATCTAATTATTATTAATTAAAAAATTAATTTTATCTATTTGAAATAGTTATATAAATGCACAGTAACTGCTGAAGAGGCTCTGTCACCCTACCTAGCTTTCCCTTTTGTTCCTCACACCTAATCCATTCTTCCTTCTTTTTCAATGTTGTTTTTCTAAAATCCATAAAGCAAATTACTTTGTCTTATGTATTTTGCCAATGCTTGACAAAAGTCAGAGCTGCCTCTATGAAGCTTTGTCACTTCTCCCAGCTAGTGACGGCTGGAGGAATAAGGCATTGTCTCACTCATTGCAAAACAATTTCTACATGTGCTCCTGCGGTCTCATGGGATCCTCCATTGACATTAAAGGACACTCCAGACACCAAAATATTTGTGAGAGTACAACATTAAAGGGACTCCAGTACCAAAACAACTTCATCTACATTAAGTTTTTATGGTGCCAGGAGCCCACCGGAGGCATTCTTACTTCAAGGGTTTAAAGTTGCCTCCAGCGGCGATCTCCACCCCTCCCTTGGAGGTATCCGGTTACTGAATTTTCAGATTCACGAAGCACGTAGTGCCACCAAGCAGGGGTGCCACTGATTGGCTGAGAGTGGTCAGCTGGCGCTCTCAGGCAATGACTCCACATTCACTAAACTGGCTTGAGAAAGGTACTCCGGGGACCTCCTGGCGCCATAAGAACCTTATTTAGAAGACGTTGTTTTGGTCCTGGAGTGTCCCTTTGATGTTGTACCTGGAGTACAGCACTGATGTGACCAGTGGCGTACATACCAGGGTCGCAGGGGTCGCGGCGCGCGAGGGAGCTGAAGAGGAAGCACTGAGGGGAACATGCTCCCTCGCGCGCCGGCCACCCAAACAGCCCGCCCGCCTGCCCGGGAGCCCAGCAGCCCAGCAGCAGCACCACTGGACCCCAGGGAATCCCCCCAGCACCCCAAAAGGTAAGGAGGCTGGGGGGATTCAATTTAAAAAAAAACATGTGTTAGTGTGTGTGTGTATTAGTTTGTGTTGGTGTGTGTGTTAGTGTGTGTGTTAGTGTGTGTGTATTAGTGTTAGTGTGTGCGTGTGTGTTAGTGTTAGTGTGTGTATTAGTGTGTGTGTTAGTGTGTGTGTGTGTGTGTTAGTGTGTGTGTAAGTGTTAGTGTGTCTGTTACTGAGTGTGTCTGATGTCTGTTAGTGAGTGTGTGTTTGTCAGTGAAAGTGTATGTTTTGTAAGTGAGTGTGTATGTATGTCTGTCGCTGAGTGTGTCTCTGTTAGTGAATGTGTGTATCTGTTAGCTAGTGTGTATGCGTCTGTTCGTGAGAGTGTGTGTCTTCAGCATTTACCTTTCTCCAGCGCCGGACTTCCTTGGTGCTGGGGATCCCGCCGCCTCTCAGCTCCGAATGCACATGCGCGGCAAGAGGCGCGCACGCGCATTTAAACCGCCCATAGGAAAGCATTACTCAATGCTTTCCTATGGACGTTCAGTGTCTTCTCACTGTGATTTTCACAGTGAGAATCGCGGAATCTCCTCTAGGGGCTGTCAATGAGACAGCCACCAGAGGCTGGATTAACCCTCAGTGAAACATAGCCGTTTCTCTGAAACAGCTATGTTTTCAGCTGCAGGGTTAAAACTAGAGGGACCTGGCACCCAGACCACTTCATTGAGCTGATGTGATCTGGGTGTCTGTAGTGGTCCTTTAGGTGTGTGTGCAGTATACTGCATTCGCGGGGTCGCAGCCTTGCGACCAGGTGCCCGCCGCCATGGGTTGCGGCCCCGACCTGCGCCGAGTAAGCGCGCGGGGGGGGCCACGGATCAATTTTTGCACCGGGGCCCCATGGGTCATGTGTACGCCACTGGATTTGACTCCTGTTAGATGAAGGGCCAGGAGAAAGGATAAGATGGTGCCCTCAGAGCACAGCCTCAGGTAAGTATATCAGCCTTCACTCTTGGGCCTCCTCACACCAAATGGTGATGTCACCTTCTGGTGTCTTTGCAAAATATGTAATCTTAGACCCCAGCAGTTTAAAGAACTACTTTAAAACCTATTCAAAAGTTAAATGGCAGCCCAGCAAACCTTCATCCCAAGGTTCACTATGTACAGAACCCTGCTGAAGTATTCTTGTATACCTTGGAATACTATTGCACTGCCACAGGTCACAGGTGGATTCAGTTACGCACATGAATTGCGCTTAATGGTGACTTTTCTATATTGGAAAATTGGCATTTGAGCTATTAATTCAAACTTATCTTCTCAGAAATTAGAGGATAACCTTAAAAAGACAACTTCTCACACACTTGAACAGCCTCTAGGAAGAGAAGGAAAGTGTCACAAATAAAGCAAATTTAATATACGCATTATTACAATCACTAAGGAAATTAGAAACATAAAAAAAACTATTTCACACCCATCTAAATCTAACAAAACAATTTCAACATAATCTAAACATAACAAGAAGCCCAGCGGTAAAATGTATCAGACATTCCTGTGTACAACATAAAAACACTGTTTATGTTAAACTCAGGAGGAATTTATTGACAAAACTCTGAACTGCAGTGAACTGACAGAATTTAGAGAAAAAGCAAACAGAGCCGTGACTATATCTGGGTTATAAAATATCTCCAGATCAGCTACCGTGGCTGCAAATTTGTTGTTCACATTTCAATTAATTACAATTCAGAGGTAAGTGAATTTTCCTCTTCTCTGTATGTTTAATCTATAAACACTGTCAAGGGGCCAAGTAGGGGGCCAAGGGGCTTATAGTAATCATTGACAAGGAGCTAAGATAGAGATACCAAGTTGCCAATGTGTTAGGATCTGTTAAAAGGGGCATGACAGGTACTAAAACTACTACAGTTTGAAGCGGCATTGTCACCGTCTATTTAAAGGGACACTGTAGTCACCTAAACAACTTTAGCTCAATGAAGCTGTTTTAGTGTATAGATCATGCCTCTCAGGTTTCACTGCTCAATTCACTGACATTTAGGACTTAAATCACGTTGTTTCTGTTTATGCAGCCCTTTCCACACCTCCCCTGGCCCTGATTGACACAACCTGCATGAAAAAAACTGGTTTCACTTTCAATCAGATGTAATTTAACTTAAAAATTTTATCTCTTGCTCTGTAAATTGAACCTTAATCACATACAAGAGGCTCTTGCAGGGTCTAGCAAACTATTAACATAGCAGGGATAAGAAAACCTAAATTAAACAGAACTTGCAATAAAGAAAGGATAAACTTTTGATGACTCTTTACAGGAAGTGTTTAGGAAGGCTGTGCAAGTCACATGCAGGGAGGTGTGACTAGGGTTCATAAACAAAGTGATTAAACTCCTAAATGGCAGATAATTGAGCAGCGAGACTGCAAGGGCATGATCTAAACACCAAAACCTTTTATTAAGCTACAGGTGTTTTGGTGACTATAGTGTCCCTTTAATTTGCAAAGACCCCCGATGGTAACATCACTGCTGGAGGCTTGGTGGTTGGGGACGAGGGAAAAGTGAGTTCTAATTTCCTGAACATGTCTCTCGCAGGCACTACCATCTTCCTCCAGCGAGTTCTCTTCAGCGCCAGGAGCTGTACTCTCTCACATGCATGGACTCCTCCATAGACAGAGACAATTCTCTGTAACTGACCCTGGTGACAGCTGGGTGAACTGACACTTTTAAATGATGGTAGCACAGCCCAGTGTCTAAGAAAGTTAGGCGTAAAAAAAACGACATGAGACAAAGTAGTCCCTGCTTGTTCTTATGTTTTTAGTTAGTTTTTTTTTTGCAAAACAATATCTACATAGGCTCCTGAGGTTTCATGGGATCCTCCATTGACATTAAAGGACACTCCAGACACCAAAATATTTGCGAGAGTACAACATTAAAGTGATATAAAAAAGAAAGAGGAATAGAAGAGGAAGAGGAAGCGAATGGGGAAAGGTAAGTACGGCGTAACTGCTGCTTTTATGTAGTGATTCTAGGGCAGGGGGAGGCAACCTACGGCACTAGTGCCATGCACGCCACTCAAGGTGTCTTTGCACGGCACTCAAGGCTGCTAGAGCTAAACAGGCTCTGGCCTATCAGGAGTCCCAGTGAAACTTCAGATATCTGCTAATACGAAGAGGACAATCCTCAATTTATGCATTGCAGCACATAGAGTAAGTGATCTCAGGTCCCTTCCTCCCAGCACTTGTGAATGGGAATCCACACTGTGGTAGAGCAGCCCACAGCGGCTATTGCAGCTCCTGCCCTTCACCTGTACCTGGCCAGCCTGGCCCCCACTGGAACCCAGGGAAGCCACCCACACTGCTAGATATACACAGAAATGCACAATAACCCTCCCCTCATAC